TTTGAACAAAAAATGGACGCTCTTAACATTGCTAGAAGCGACCACTGACTCTCGCAGTCAGGGTATAAACTTTTTAATCAATTATTTGAACCTCCTAATAGCTGTTAAACAAATCGGTTTTCATTCCCGCCAATAGTTCTCGATTTTATAATAAGTTTTTCAGGAATGGCGAAATCCTATTTTATTTCACTACATATTTTATTCTTTTAAATTTAAGCGTAGTTAACTCTATCTGAACAATTATATTCGTAATAATTATATTTTATATGATACTTTTTAAAATAAAAAAAAACAGTGTCGCCATCTACTCAACTAACCGTGGGTCTCGAGCATTTCACAATACCTGTTAGTCTAAGATTGTACGTGATCTGGCGAAACAAGAAATTTCATAAAAATTGTCGATTTCAGTAACTTTTATGACAGCTTAAGTATCAGTTATGTCAAATAGGTAGGTGACATTACTGACGTTAGTAATGTTTCTTTTAGCCAATTTAGTCACGTGGAAAACGTTTATTGTTGAAGACTGTATATTGCATGATAAGTGCTGTAAAAAGCATATTACCAACGAATGGAAAAGTAATTCTTTAAGTGCGTAATTGCTTTACCTACGACCACATGCACAGGTAAATAATATGCGTGTGTACAATATATTCTTTCCGTTTACCGTACTTTTTGATTACGATGCGCTTTGTTTACCGTGCGTTGTCTTTACCATGCGATTTAAGTTGGGTATTTCTGACTGCTTTCTAAGAGCCCTAACCTCTATATGTTCGGCCTTTTTATAATTTTATTTCCGTTATATATTAAGAAACTTAAGGTTGAAGAAGAACATCTATTTTTTAAAAATTATTTAAATTTAATAGTTGTTAATGTTTCTACTATTTGTGAGAGCATCACGGGCCAAAATGATCTTAATTTTTTAAAAAAACAGTATTTAATCGAAAGATAAATACCATTTAAATGTTCGAACAATATCCTCCGCAATTATTAAATTTAATGTTTGGGAGGCTTTGGAATTTGTGACGTTTAGAATTTTTTACGTGTTTGACGCACATTATAAACACTAACTTATTTTGTGGTTTGACGTTTTAAGTTGTTGAAAGCGTGACGGTATCTTTGTGACAGTTTCTAACGTAATGTTTTTATTTGTTATTGAACATGGGTCGCGGTAAAACAATTCCAAATAAAATTTGAGAATTGATCCTAAACAAGTATAAACATAAGTTACCTAATAAATATCTGAAATAAAATTAATGAAAACGCTGAACATATAGTGGTTAGGGCTCGTATAGTGGAGGTAGGTAAACATATTAAATGATAATATTGAGACTTACATCGCCCTGTATCAGCGTAAACCCTCTCGTGATCTTAATTTCAATCGTAGGCGGTTTAAATTTACACCACTTCAAAATATGATTTTCGCGGTGCACGCGAGGCCTGTCAAGGTCAAATAAACACGGGTAGGTGTTTTCGTGGAAAGTAAAATTTAAATATTAACCAACCCTATGTTTTTTTATTTAAGCGTTAAAATTTCAAAATGATATTGCAGATTGTAGACCTTATTAGGCATTCCAACGACCTGTCCAAATGGCTACCAGTGGGAACCGACAGTTTATATATGGCAACCCTGTTTTCATGTTGTCATTAACAGGGTCAATGAAACATCTATAGTCATATATTAGGCATTCCAAATTGAATGGCTACCAGTGGGTTTTGACAGGTTATGGTATGGCAAAATTATGGCAACCCTGTAGGCCTGGTGATTTGGCAAGGTCAATGAAATAGATAGTTACATAGATTGATCATCCATATTTTTCAAAATAAACATAAGCTTATGTCTTGAACTAAAAATGTAAGCAATTATTATTTTTTAAATATCTAAAGGCTGAAAATTGGTTTTAAAACACATTTTTGCTAAACCGATTCAAATTAATAAATATTTGCCAGGCAATATGGCCGCTCTATATCATTGACCCTATCAAACCACCAGGCTTACAGTGTTGCCATATTTTAACCTATCATGTGCCTGTCAGTGGCGTGTCATTTCAAACGGGCAGCCATTTTATTTGAAATGCCTAATATTATGAACTAAAAATGGCGACTTTAACATTGAAACAATATATCGGCCCTTGTCCAATCTAAAAAATATAATATAATAGTATAATTTTACTAAACTTTACCAGTAGCGTACGATCATTTCAAAATTTAAAAATAAATTAAAATAAAGAATACGATCTCGAAAACATATTACTTTACAAGTTTCCAACAAGATTGAAGGAATTACATAAAAAAATAAAAATTATCGTTAAAAGTAGTGTTTGGACAGTGACATAACATTTAGAAAGGATAATTGGGTTACTTAACCATGCCGTACACCACTGGCTAAGTTGTATTATTTAGATATATCGTATGACTCCAAAAACGGCCATCGGCCAAATGGTCGTGGCGATCACACATAATGCGTCTTAATACACTGTTGTTCTTATTAAATTTGGTCGGTTGTGACCAGCCGTGGTTGTGGCCGCTCTAGTTCGTCTTCGCCTTAAATTTGGTCATCTGCGACCAGTCGTGGTCGTGTTGTTGACCGCTCCAGTGCGCCTTGGCCGGTCACATGCAGTCGGCTTGCCAAATCTGTGAAACGTATACCAAATGTGTGAAGCGTAAAGCCTTGTTCAGAGTAGGAGCGTTGCGAAACGATAGCGTTGCGTCGAGCGACGCGTCTTGGATAAAACAATCTAGTGTTACTACCAAACACAAACGTTCAAAGTGAGAGCGATTAACGATGCGATGCATCGCGTTACCAATTGCGCCGCTCGACGTAAATATCGCATCGCGACGTGCTCTGCTCCTACTCTAAACAAGGCTTAACGTAAGTGCATCGGTCGTCTGTCGCGGTCGCTTTCATCGGTCTCGCGTTCCCAAATCGTACCTTCAAGGTATCTGCGTTACGTTTGTGTTCCTCTTTTCTCTCGACAATAATTGAATCAGCAGCAGCAACTTGTACTAAATAATAATTATTAGTGAGCGTAGCTATCACGTATCTCTGACCCAATGTAGTTATGCTTTTAACCCCAATCATTTATTGTTTGCTAGATAATAAACAACGCAGAATAGTATTATACCCATCTTCAGCAAGCGCAAATGACCTAACTTATCTTTTCCTGTTATTGAATTATTCATTTTAGAATGATTTTGTATTCGTTAATGTTTACTTTATTAAAACGATTTCAATTTAACGCTTATTTTCACTGCCTCTAAATAATTTCAACATATCTCTCGTATGCATTTCTTGCGTACTTCTTGACAATGATAAATTATACATTAATTAAATAATGTTACAATAGTTTTTTATATAATACTACTAGACTATTAGAATTGTGTATTTGTTGTAATATTGTCGGGTAGCAGCGTGGATTCCTGTTTAATTCATCACAAACAATAAATATAAAAAAGAAATTTTTATTATCTAACCACTAACACCTCAAATAAATTAAGTATACAGGGTGATTATATCGGTTAATAATAAACATTAAGCGGATAATACAAATAAACACATAAAAGGATAATGCAAACAAAATAACTCTTATATTTAATTCATATTTTTGAAATAAGAAAATAAATAATCATAAACAGTTATTTTTTAAATTTTAAATGATCAAACATGAGGTGTTGCCTATTGGCACCATTGAAAAATATTTTTGACAATATGTCCAATAATGCAACGCAAGTGAAGGGTTTTAAATTAGCAACCCCCATGTATGCAGGGTGTTACCAAACTCATGCACAATATTTTACAGTACATGTTGGGAAGGTTGAGAGGAAGAAAAACCTAAATACCATTAATTTCAAGAATACCATCTAATAAAAATATTAGCTCATTATCTATAAATACGTTCAATGAAAGAAGTTCACCATGCAATTGGAAAGAAAGAAACATCGATAATATATCGTTTCTTCTCGCGCATATAAGGTCGCCATTTAGTATTCACTTCTATTAGAAATATAAAATATCTTGATTAAAGAGACTTAAATAATATACCGAATCACATCTACAATAATTGACTGTCTGGACTTGACTGGATTCTCTGGTCTTGACTGGGTTCTCTGGACTTGACTGGATTCTCTAGAAATATTTGTAAATCATGCCACTTCCATTGACATGTACTTTATGGTCTTACACGGCCATCCTGAACCTGTGGGATTCCCAGTTATTTCACTTCCCGCAAGCTAGTCTTCATCCAGACTTGCATCCTCAGCACATGTCAATGGAGAAACACTGAAAATTATGAAACAAATTTATATTATTGACACACTAAAGTATATCTTGTTGAAGGAGTTGGTGCTTTATGTCCTTACAAAATTTCTGTGGTTCTACTTTATTGAAGTACTTTTTGGCATATTTCTCCTGAGCGATTGCATTTTATATAATACGTTTGTTTACAAATTTCCTCCATTTTTCACGCTGTACTTCGAGCAAAGGAAGTTTATCTTCAGAAAAATTATCAATTAAACGTCTTTTCTCTGGTAGTCCATTGTCACATGTAAATAGAACTTGGAGTGGAGATCGGGACTGCGTTTGCCGGAAATATTTTGCGTGGGCAACTTAACAGAAGAAAAACATGCCGAAAGGTTTGATCTTCCAGCAATGTATAAAAAAAATCAGCATAGTCATCTATTAAATAATAGGACGCGCTTAATTTTTTTAAAGTAATACTGCATCACCCCGTATACCGATAGCGCAAATGCATACCAGCATAGTAGCCTTTTAGATAACAATAAAGCACTACCAGTCGTCAGTGCTCCGTGACTTTTCGATCATCTGGTCTGGTAGAATTCCGTCCGCGTTCGTCAGAAATAAATAGTCGTGTGATGCGGTCCCCTTATCAAAAATCAGAAAAAAAACATTCCAAATCCTTTAGTTAGCGTTAAGATAGTGAAAACATTTTAACATTATTAGTAATAATTTATAACAATATTGAAATATGGCTGTTCTGTTACAGAGTTGTCAACAGTTCGTGAAGCTGTCCGATCTGGAATGTCAGAAACCGAAAGTGGACCTAAATTTTACTCCGAGGATGAGCAGGTAATCAATTAATTGTTACTTATTTAACCATAACGTGAATATTAAAAATGTATTTCTTCCTATGAAAATTACACAATTGTCTGTGGCCGGTACTTTAATTAATTATAATGTTTTGACAATTTCAAGATTTTAAAGTCCAAGAAAATCTGGCTGCAGAGGACCAAAACTTTGTTTAATGACTAACATTAAAATATTTTTATACGACCTCCATAATATAATGGATTACTTCATTACTATTTAAAAAGGAGTAAAAGTGATCAAGCTTTTCGAGAATGGATTTTAGTTAATGTTTGTTATAAATATATACATGGTAGAGGTAAAATCAGTAGCGGATTTCCCTATGCACTGACTACGCTCTAGGCAATTTTTAGGGGCGGCAAATTTTGTCTATTAGATTAACCAAATAATGAAATAAACCTATAACGTAACAATGAATGAAATAGGAATGCTAATTTCGGCACTCAATCGACCACTGCAGACATCTTAAGTAGTTTGAACAAAATTTATAATAGAATCAAAAAATATTCGAGAAGAGGAGTACGATTATGATCAAAGAGGACGTCCAGTCTTTTCATCTTTATCGATTGTAAACAGGTAGGGCTAGGTTTGGCCCAGAACACTGCGGCCTCTTGGGTCTATTGTATTCCCCTGCTTTCCCCGTATTCAGATACTATATTTGGAATATTCCTGTGTCTTTGGTTAGTTTTAATAAGTTCCCTTACCAAGTGTTCCTGGAGCGTTCTTTCCGATTCTAGGCCGAAAAGGATGAAACGTCGCCTAGTAAGAGCTTCGCATGGTATGAGGTTTCTTCCTCTTCCATGCAAAGTCTACACGTAGTGGGATCATTGTGTAATCCCATTACATGAAAGTGTTTCAGCAAGCAGTGCCCTGTTAGTATCTGAAGCCTTGCGAGTAGTGCCTCAGTAGCCATGCGTGGGTTTGGTCCCCTTAGCATGAGCTTACTGATTCTGTGCACTCTTATCTGTTGCCAGTAAATTTGGCGTTTTGTGGTTATCCACCTGTTCACTGCCTGTCGAGCAGAAGTTTTGCTTATCCCGAATACAGGTTCGGGTCCTGTGAATGGTAGATCTGATCCCTCTTTGGCGAGTTCATCAGCCTTTTCATTTCCTTGGATACCTTTGTGCCCTGGTACCCACGCTAGTTTTACCTTGTTGTGGGTTGCCAGATCATTTAGTATTCCAAGGCAGTTCCAGACAAGCTCTGACTTGATTCTGTTTGAATCAAGAGCCTTTAAGGCTGCTTGGCTATCTGAGAGAATTAAGATGGTTTGTTTTTAGTACTTCCTTCTTAAATTCTCTCGTACACACAATTCGATTGCATGTATTTCAGCCTGAAATACAGTGGCATGTTTCCCCAGTGAGACGATGATGTCGGATTTGGGTTTAACTCCATGTACGCTAGAGCCTGTTCCCTTGTTAGTTTTAGATCTATCCGTATACCATACGAGACCGCTAAGCAAGTATTTATCTATCTCCTTATTTACCTCGTTCCAGTTACAGTTGACCAGGAAGAGTCTGTTAAAGGTTAGGAGGGGTGTCATGTGATCATATTTAATATAGAATAATTTACTTGATGTGTTATTCTGGTAGGTTTTATATGTCCCAAAAATTAAAGAAAGACATAGTCAATACAGGGATATTACCAAAAAATTAATTTTTCTATTAGAGATTGATTATTGATTCTCTTTCTTCTGAAGAAATTATTGATGGAGAAAAGAAATTACATAAATTTAAAAAAAAAACTATATCGACTCTGATACTTTTGTTCTCGAGTTTGCCACCAGATGATAAAAAGATAGTTTCCAAAAATAAATTCGCGGCGAAATTGCGCACTTCGCTCGCGTGGTATGTTTCATCTCGTGTTTCGTATAGAGCGGCAACTTAGGCTAGCGTACAGCGGAAAATTGCTAAATCCGACACCTGGTATTATACCCAACCAATTTAAATTTTTTATAGAGTTAGTGGAGTTACACACAGAATAAAACAATTCAAAATACATTCTTTTAAGATATCTGAATTTATTAATTTCTGAAGTACAAAAATAATTCTAATTGACTTATTTCTTCGATATGGAACACAGAGGGTCATCTAATATTATACCAAGCGATTTGCAGTGATTTTCCACTGTGACCTGATTGTTACTAAGATATAACTAAGCTCTGAGTTTTATTCTTATTTAGCTACAAATTACTAACAGAAAACTGGTCGGTAAAAAAAATTACATGACATTTTGTTATCATGTAATAACTTAAATCATCGATGTACATATATGATGAACAACGGTGGCCCCAGAAGAGACCCTTTGGGAACACACCATGACCTACATTTTTCAAATTAGATTTTGTATTATTTTCTAAACGGACAAATTGCTGTCTTCATTCCAAAAAGATTTTAATAAGTTCGAAGGGTCGCCTCTAAAATTCAAGTTTCTCCAACAAGAAATCGTGGCATAAATGTTATGTTGGGAATGGGGTGTTAATACAATGCGACCTGAAAGAGCTATTGTGCTTCCTTATATCGCTAATGCAGCAAGTAAATGTCGATGCCTATAACGACCCTTCCAATCCTATCTTCCCAAAGAAGTGTAGGTTTTGGAATGGTTTCAAGTTAGATAAATCGCCCTCTTCTATTTGATACGCTCCTAAGTATAGTGTCCTTGGATTCTGGAGTGTTACACAGTTAGAATGTGAATGGAGGTTTCGTCATCCTCCTCACAGAATTTGCACTCAATATCTTCTAGTACTAGGTGTCCTTTGAGTCGACAATGCCAAGTAATGATCCCTGTTACAATGCGTAGCCTGTTCTTGTTCAAGCAGCTACAGGCTTCCGGTCTTAGCCCCAAAAGATTGTTGCAATTATCGGTTCTTCTACTGGTGATATACATAGTCGAATGTCTTGGAAAGGCCACACATCTGGAGAATCGATGTAGACGTCCCTCAAGACCTCCAATATATCTTCCACAACTTCAAGCAAAGCTGTTATTGTAGATCTATTTCTTTTAAAACCGTACTAAGTGGTATGTAAGAGCTTAAATTTTTCCAAATAACCGTATAGTCTATTTTTTTATCAAAATTTATATCACCTTGGAATTTACAACAAATTGTTGATATTGTCCTATCAGCCTTATCTAAATCCCCTTTTTTTGAACAAATATAAAATTATTGCATTATTAAAAAGTGAATTTAGTGAATTTGTCCAATCCATCCCCTTAGGTTCAAGCATCGATGGAAATTGATTTCTGGATTTTGTTAGAAATGTTTGGTTGGTCCTGATTTAATCGAATTAATTTTTCCTGTCGTCTTATTTTAATTTGTCAATAAATTCTTTATGTAACTCTCAGAAACAGCAGTGGATGTCGATCCATTATGACGTTTTAAAACGCTAACAGAATCAACCGGTAAAGATGCCGATGTAGGTATAAAACAGTGACTTGTTTTTAATGCAAGTGTCAGAAACTTATTTCATTTTATAGTAAGAAATCTACCAGACAAAATAAAACTAATAAATCAACAACAACCTTTGTTTAAATTAAAAAAAAAAACATCAAAGTTCAAATTAATAAATAATATTTAGCTACCTACCTGAAAATATGAAAATTATGGTTACCTACCATTCATTAATATACATATTGTTGAACCAACCTTTCAATTATCGTAATAAAAACAATTCAGTTGAAAATATTTACATTAAAAACGAATAAAATAATCCATTAACGCAATATTTATTTAATAATATCATTGACTTACATTTTTATTCGTATTTGTTTTTTTTTACAAATTCTACTTTATTGAATAAAATGAATTGCTTGGCAATCAGAATCGGAATAAATTCCCATAAATTACAAGAAAAATCGCATTAATTATGAACTTTTACCGTATAGCCACTTTTTATGACAATCTTTTTTTTTGTTGTATTCTGCAAACGACCTAAAAAATAAGAGAGATCTTGACATATGCTTATTCTTTATTCACATTTATTATAAACAGCACAACATTGGCGACCTTGAAACATCGTTCAGTGGTTGTAATAATTATTAAAGTTATTTAGTCGACAAGCATCTCTCGAACCAGAGGTCTTAGGGTTGTACAATTACACTGATAACCTCAAAGCCCCTATTCTTGAGTTACAAGCCCAAGAAGGGCAATTCAAGTCCTAGACCAATACCGGCAATGCAATACCTAGACCAAACACAGCGATCCAAGACCAAGACTGAACTGGTCTTGGTCTTACTGCAAGACTTGCAATACTTTCGCAGTTTTCCAAGCAACTAGCTTAGGTAACTACAACCATTTAATGAAGATGAATTGACAAACTGACCTGAAACTGGAGAAAAAGTATGGTTGTAAATTGTAACATCATTTCATCACTGTAGGGAGAATTACTATCATGCCTGTCGGAGGGTGTCTACAAGATAGAATACTTTAACGCATACTATGAACTTCCAATGTTATATGGACAATCTGGTTATCATAATTAGGGATAAACACAAAGAGGTAGTCTACTTAATTCTTTAACAAGTTATATACGATTAATGGATACATTGGCTGGGGGAATCAACCTTTTTTTGAAGGAGGTGAAATATCTGGAATGTGCCTCGATAAAAAAAACTCACCTTGAACTGCCAACTGGACAAAGCAGACTATCCTTCTGGACTCTCAAAATGATATGCGTCAAATCATGGGGGAACAGTCCCAAAATTATCTGCTGGATTTACCAAAGTGTGGTAAAACCAATGGTTAAGTAAGTCTCGGTTATCTGTTGGGACAAAGAACGGCCAGGTCAAATCGACACTTGTACCAAAAGTTTTTAATTCCACAATGAAGTTAATCAAAACAATTTTATAAATGAAATGAAATGGATAAGATAATTTGTATTTGTATTTTTTTATAATGGTCAAAGCAAATGGACTAGGCTAGAAGATATTTCTTGAATGTCCATGAGATTAAATGAATACCACATAAAAGATATCTTCAAAGCGTCTTTCAGGCTCATTAAGAATTTTCTCACTTCTTCATATGTACCGAAACTCTCTCCTCTTTTGGTTGTAATAGCAAAAAAGGGAAGCTTCTGCAGATTATTTTACATAATTTACAGTCTTTGTGTAACACGATGCAACTACAAACGGACAATATAAGTTCTACAGCGATCGACAAGGGCTTCTCGCGATCGACCGTCTGGGCACCACACTACTTCTCTATAGGCTAGCAGTGTTTCTCAAACTTTTTTGGCGACGGAACCTTTTTGAAAAGCGAAATATATGACGGAGCCCTAAACACGTTTCTAAAATAAAAGGTCCTCAAGCCCAGCTCCCTCCCTTTTGTGGCGATAGTACTGCTTCTTTTTTAACCGACTTCAAAAAAGGAGGAGGTTATCAATTCGTCGCGATATTTTTTTTTATGTATGTTCAGCGATAATGCTTTACCATCTTGTCCGATTTATACGATTCTTTTTTTGTTAGTAAGGGGGTACCTCAGGGGTGGTCCCATATAAATTTGGTTAAGATGTGGTGATGGCATCTACACGTTTTGGAAGTCGGTTTTTTTAAATTTTTAATTTGTAATACTTGTTTTATTATGACTATTATTTTTATCGCGGAAGCCCCCACAAAAGCTTTGCGGAGCCCCTGGGCTCCGCGGAGCACACTTTGAGAAACACTGGGCTAGATAGATACCTGGGTAATCTATAAAACAAATCCTTCCTCTTCTAGGTCCATTCCGGAGAGCTCGTGGGTAGAAAGTCCGCTGCTAATGTCCCACTCGGTTGGGTACAGGTCCGCTCCTCATCCCTTGGAGCCCGAACATAACGAAAGCAGTCAAGAGTCGGATAGCTCAGCGAAAAAAGAATCGTCTCAGCCCAAAAGGTGCGTAAGAAAACTCGGTACTGATCTTTTGAGGATGTTCTTGGAAGAAATCGGACCGGACGTAGTGGTGGAGGTCGAGGGACACAAACTCAAGGCACACAAGTGTATTTTGGCTTCGAGATGTCAATATTTCGCTGCTTTGCTCAGCGGAAACTGGTTGGAGAAGAGTGGGAATGTTATATCTTTACAGGTAAGTTTTTTATGTTTACAAAAGTGTGTGGAATATTTCGATAAATGCATAAACATTAAAAATACCTACCTTGGATCTAATATACAGGGTTGGGCAAAATTGGCGGAACACCCGATCTGTGGCTCAATTATGGATTGTATTGAAAATTAATCCAAATAAATACATTTTATCGTATATTTTATGCACTATTTAATGACACTTGGGATTTTCGTCATCTGTTATATTTATCAAGATAAGACGTCATCAGTTCAAATTTTAAATGATACTACTGTATTTATATTTTTTTCAGATATATCTTTTCTTTCTGAATCTATCAATATAGGGTTCGGGTGGTCTCCGACTTAAATAATTAAATAGAAAAGTAAACGTTGTTTTGAATAACTAATGAATAACTATCCACACAGTTGTTGTCTGTGCTATTATAATGTACCAATTTGAATTGTTTTGCCATGGTTTCACTTTTCGACAATAAATGTCATATTGACATCTCGATATTAATCACTCAGTTTTATTAATACGATTTTTGTACATCTCTGACAGAAATACCTACTATGAAGACTATAATACCTACCAATGTTTTTGTGTTAAGGTGGATCCAGACGTTCTGCGCTAAGCATCGTAGAGCGTTTGTTCGTGTGTGTCAACATATTTTGAACATTGAACGAGAAAAGTCCAGGGGGCCTATTCTCCAGTTGAGAGAATGATCATTTCATGCGAACTGGACAGCCGTTCTCTTAAAAAGTGTATGAGTGGTATTCTTGAATTGAAGTGAATGATCACTTCGCATGAAAATCGAGAGAACATACTTCTCTTAGTCAAAACCAGTAGAAGAGCATCATTTCGGGAGAACATGGGGAGAACTGTCATTGTCGTGCGCTATCAAAACGTCACTTTTTGTAATTAAAATGGATTTGGACGAAGCTCTTATTTATATTCATATTTTGAATGATCTAGCCACATACTTTGATTTTCTTTTACTATACGGAGAATGGTCGCACTGCGCAGCTTTCTGAGTGCCTTTTAAAAGGAGATAGAAAACTCCGCCATTTTGAACCCTTATTACGTGTGGCCTACATCTTGGCGCAATATTTTTAATAGGTCCGTTTTAATCATCCGCTTCTGCTTCGGAGTTGTCGGTTTTCTTGTTTTAATCTGACAGGTTAAAACGACTAAACCGACAATTCCGGAAGCAGAAGCGGATGATTAAAACGCACCTGATATGTTGCTTGCTGCTGTCAGTGTCAGTGAATATTATTTTTGAAGTCACAGTTTATTGCTAAAGAATCAGTTAGCTCACTCGGACCAGTTGAAAGTTCCAAAATAATATCCACTCCAGGGATACAAATTCAGGATACGCAGAAGACTGCTGTTTTATTATAGGCGGTTGTCATATATTGTATTATTCGAGTTGCACAGTGTATAAACTGAAACATTGAGATCCGAAGTGCCGACGCAGAGTGAGCGATCTGATTCTTTAGCTGTAAACTGTGTCACAGGGTTCAAAATGGCCGCGCCCTATGTTGGGCGTGTCGGACCTCTCTCTTGCCTCGTATAGTAATCAAAGTATGTGGATCTAGCTGAAGCGGAAGAAGATGCCAATCGACCAAATAGATTTTTTTTAAGAAAAGAGGATCCTTTTGACTTTAGTGACCGAATATTCATACAAAATGTTCGTCTAAGTAAATTTTTGGCACGGGATTTAATAGAAAATAATGGAAAATATAATCTGTTATTACAATTGTCAAAAAATAATAAAAAATTGAAGTAAAGTGCCTTCTAAAATAGTTCTAACGCACAACTTAAATTTGGCAGCGGTGCTCCATATGAGATGTGAATGATTCAAGAATACCCACATACTTTGATTACTATACGGTGCAAGAGAGAGGTCCGACACGCCCAACATAGTGCATAGTAGGATATAAAACACATGACTATTAGGCATTCCAACGACCTGTCCAAATGGCTACCAGTGGGTAATGACAGTTTAGATATGGCAACCCTGTTGTCATGCTGTCATTAACAGGGTCAATGATACATATATAGTTATATAGATTGCTCAAAGCTGGTCGTTTACGAGCGGCCATATTGCGTGGCAAATATTTATTAATTTAAATCGGTTTAGCAAAAATGTGTTTTAAAACCAATTTTTAGCCTTTAGATATTTAAAAAAAATAATTGCTTACATTTTTACTTCAAGGCATAAGCTTATGTTTATTTTGAAAAACATGGATGATCAATCTATGTAACTATCTATTTCATTGACCTTGTCAAATCACCAGGCCTACAGGGTTGCCATACTTTTGCCATATCATAACCCGTCAAAACCCACTGGTACCCATTTAGTTTGGAATGCCTAATTATGTAAAGCCTGGAACAAAAAACAAAATATAAATTACAGCCTTAATTTGGTAATAAACAAACATAACACAACCCCAAAAATAATAGTTGTTTTTTACATGATACGTTTTTCGGCAACAATCGTTGAATTGACACACATACTTCCGATTTATTAAAGTCGCAGTTTTATTTAAACTTAATTTTTCAGCTTGATTGGAAAGTTGGAAACGTCGAGATAGAGGTAGAGACGACATAAACACTATTTTGCGATTTGACCTGTGGACGCACTTTGAGTCATATTTTGATTAATTAAGTTAATAATTTTATATTTGAAGATAGGCGGAATGAAAATGGTTTTATATCATTTGAATCACGCTATTTTAAAAAAATTGTATTTATTCTCACCAAAACTGACTAGCTTGAGTTTGACATATGTCGTAAAAGGGTAATGCAAAAATACAGACACTTTTAGTACCGTCATTGCACCTTCTCATTATTCTATATCTATGATTAGAAAGATTCGTATGACCCGCCCTACTTTATGGCGTCACTGTGTGCGATGCGCAAAATAAGGCGATTTTAGTGATGTTAAGCAGGCTCATTGTTTATTTCAAAGATCTGTTGACGTGTTGACTTCTCTTTTTAGCTACAGGCTTTCGCGAAAACATCTCGCTCCTCGGGCTCATTCAGAAAAGTGCGACAGGGAGACGAGATTAGCCAGAGCGCAGTAGCGTACCAAAAAATAGAGATTAACACAATAAAATTATTAAAATTGAATTTATATTTTTGTTATGATGTGTTTTTATGAAATGTAACTGGGTGTTCACTGCGCAAATGAACCAAAGGAGAAACCGCCCCTGGTGAAGAGTATCATATAGAATGCCAAGCATTACATATCTTCATTCTAGTTTTGATTTATAACTAACTACTTAATGGCTGTAAGATCAGTTGCCAAACGTCCATTATACTCGTAAATTGTAATTTTTGGGTGTTATTGAAATAAAATTTAGATAAGATGAAATCATTAGTCAAAGTTTGTTTATTGTGTAGATATTATGAAATATATAGTACATATTAAATTGTCGATAAATATAAAATAAAATATGAATTAAAAAAATTATAAATCCAATATATATTATGGATATTTGGTTTGAAAAGAAAAAGATAAGTAAACACTTTCTATTGCTAAAGAAATTATTCTTTCAAAATGTTGCAACACATGGATCGCAGATAATGTCTTCAATGTCTAAAAAAATATACGAGGTTTTTAAAAATAATTCATCCGGCAAACACTTATCATTTATTTGGTCAACCGCAGATAGATAAGCCTTTTTTTATGCGACAGACTTTTTAGTTTAGGTAATTTAGCATTCACAGACGATCGAAACTTCGCCACGGCTCCAAAAATAAAAAAAGAATACATCGGAATCCTAACCAGATATTTCTTAAGCATGTTTAGATATAGGTAGGTATGCAGACGTACAAAATATTTTTAGATCTTATTCAAAAAGTATCCATTACACCGAAATTATTTAGATATTTAATCCAAGTTTTTTTTTGTTTCGTTTTGTGGTTTGTGGAAATAAAAATGTAATTTATGTTTTTACTTTTTTTTTGCCAAAACAAATGATTTTGATTTAGATATCATTCTACATTTGTATGGAAATGATAAAACTTTAATTAAAATAAATAGACAACAAATTTACATTTTTAAAAAAAGTTTAAAAAAGGTTAAGGAAATGCCAGTCTAAATAGTTAAAACACACTGTATTTAGCGGTATTCACCGGTAGTTTTTTTTGGAATTAAGTAAAAAGTTCTCACAGGTCTATTAAGGTGGAATACAAACAACAAAAAAAATCGGTAAAGTATTTTAAGAACTTCGATATAGATATTGTAAAAATAGGGAACGCCCAAGTTCTTAAATTTTAATAATTTAAAATTGACACCACCAAACCAAAATCCCTTTTTCACATGTCTCCATCAGCATTCCTCTTGATCCCACCCGGAATCTCACTTCGCGACCGCTCGGTATTCTTCGTCAAGTTCACCGTTATTAAACAATAATGATTGGCTGCTTTTAAAATGGTCCTGTTACATAAATCAAAAGGACACTTTTTATTATTTTCATTCAAGGAGGACCTTTTTGATTAAATGCTATTCCTTTTAACGCTATTTTTAATTTTTTAAAAATTATTTAGGATCTGTTATCTTTAGCTTCTAAAATTCTCAGATACCAATTTACAATAACTGATCAGAAGTATAACTGGTTTTGAGCTAGACAAATTTGAAGTTTTTCTACAAAGTCATTTTTGAGATATCGTGCCAACAGACGACAGACCCGACAGACAAACCGACGGAATGGGGAAACATGTTTTTCGTAATCTAGGAACCCTAAAACGTGAAAATCTGAAATAATCTCGGAAGGTGACTTTTTCACGATTACAATACATCCCGCTTATCTAGTGAAGTATAAACGTATGTAATTATTTAGAACCAATTTATTACGCAAAACAAAAATTTTTTGTTGCGGTACACGTCGAGAGAAAAGTTGTTTTCCAGCTTAAATATACAAAAGTATCACACAACAGAAAATTATATATGCAATTATTTAAATATCTCACTAGAATACGTGACGAGGAAAATTAATAAAAGGAGACTGCAA